ATCCATCACAGTGAACATCATGTCCTCATTTATTTTAGGTCAAATGTTGTCTTATGATTGCGCAGTAATGCATTTAAAAGTGGGGATGGTTTGGAAAGGTCTGCGGTGGATTACCACACAAGTGGGCAGGGTATCGTTTGCCAGTAAGATCCCTCCAGAGTGCCTGTGCTGATACCCAAAAATACAAAACCCCTTATTGTGATTCAACAATAGAAGATAAAATTGTCATCTAAACACAAGCAGACGTATTTTGCCTGAACAAAATAGTAAAATTGGCCTCCTGTTAGGAAGGGAAACGTCTGTGCAGGCAACGATTTAATAAAAATATGGAAAACTTGTTGAGTATTTTGATTATTTAAATCAGGAACTACCTGTGAAGACATAAACATGATAATAAATCTGACCAGATGTTTGACATCAGCTTCTCTGTATGATCTTTTGGACACATTTTGGTCTGTACTGAAAAATGTTTCAGTACAAAATACTCAAATACAAATACTCAGCCGTACACAACACTTGAATAAAAGTAGGCATGGTTTTAATGGTTAGGAATTACCTAAAATTTGAGAAAAACATGTTAAAAAAAACCTTTGGTATGCTTTGGAAAATAAAACAGCAGTAAGGTAAATATAACTTGTAGTAAATAGGCTGAAACATGCTTGAAATGGTTCCTTTTTAAAGAGATGAAACTTTAATTATAAATGAAGCATGGCACATTTAAAACTTAGTATATACTACAGTATAGCTTTGAACTTAATCATCTCTCAAGGGGAACGTACCGGGATCGTACCGATGTATGGATTTATTTCTGTTGATTTTAAAATGTATATGACAGAACGAATTGTTGGTGAGGTAATCAATTCAAATGAATGAATGCAAGTGCGTTGAATGCTGACAATAAAAAAGAGTTAAATGCAGATGTAGTCTTTTTGTTAAGTTGGTTATTGTTTATACATGAAAAATTACATGTTCTGTACAGAATTATACATAACCACCCATAAACCGTGACACCAGCAAGACAACAAAGACTTCACACTGAATTTCATACGCAATTTTAGTGGAAATCAAACTTCTTTCTTGCACTTCTTGCTCACATGGATGTAACTGAGGAGCAGCTGAGGAAAGTTTTCCCTCCTCGTGTCCAAAGAATGATCTCAGGAGGGAGTTCGCTCAGCCTGCCAAGCCCAGTGAACCAGCCAGCTCCATCACATGAGTCCTCCCCCCCACCACCAGGCACATTTTGTTTACCAACATCGTCTCTAAAAGCCGCCGTCGTTCCTTAAGGGGTCATCTGATTGGCCTCCTCTGGTGTGACGTCGCGGGAGGTCAGCTCAGAGAAGAGAGCTGGCAGCCAGTACTGTGATTCTCCAGCTGCCTGAGAGTCCAACCAAGCCAGGCCTTCTTTGAGCAGGTGATCCTGGAAACATGAGAGTGGAGAGTTTGTACAGAGTTCACCGACTTACAGTGCAGTTTAATACCTTTCTCAGTTTTACAAGAGTATAAAACCAATTCTAGGACTGCAACTAATGATTATTTTTATTATTGATTCATCTATTAACTATTTAGTTTTTAAAATGTAAAAAATAATTGAAAATCGTACATTATGTCCTCAATTTGCTTGTTTTCTCCAAGCATCAGTCCAAAAGATATTAAATTTTCTATGATTTATGACAATGAAAAGTATCACATCCTCCCATTCAATGAGATAAATGAGAATATTTGTCAATTAACTTTCTGAAAAGTAACTAATGGTTGCTGAACTAAATAATTCCTAATGATGAAACGAATGTTACATAACATTGTCTATAGAGCAAAATGAATTCAGTGTTTTTTAAGACCTGCAGACTCAGCAGAAGCAGTGAGAGTTGCTGCATTTCGTTGCCTCAGTACTTTGTGCAATAATAATAATAATAGTAAAGTTCTAAAGAAATGAGCTGATGTGAACTTACCAGGACGTGACACGCCCGCTCTTTCTCCCATTTTAGACTATCCTTGATCTCACTCACTGTGACGTAGCCCTTCTTCTACAAATGAACAAAGAAACAAACAGACATGATCTCTCTCTCTCTCTCTTTTGGAGAGAATATAGAGAGAACAACCTCTTTTCCTTCTCACCAGGTGGCAGCATAAACTGAGGACAGTGGTGAGTTGGAGAATAGTGACATCAAGTGTTAGACTTTAAAACCTGCAGGTGAATTATTTTTTATCCCGGTGACTTAATTCATTCCCCAACTTTGGAAGCAAAAACCTTCCCTGCATAAATCAAATTATTATCTAATAAAGAAATTAAGGAAAGGTTAACATTTTCTCCATATGTACATCGGTTTTTAGTCATAATTCCTCCTGTCCACACTGGCTATATATAAAGTAAATAAATCTTAATGTAATTTTAATGTTAAGTGATTGAGGGAAACCAACAGTCTCTGTTTGGTGTAAACATATTTTCTAGAAGTTCAAGTTAATATGAGGCTTTAGCAGTCAGTTAGAAGAAACAAATCAAAGTTTTAGTCTTTTTAGTACCATATGAATACTTTGTCTTTGTTTCCCTTCACTGCAGCTCAGGAAGGAAACACATAGAGGGAATTTGGTGCTAAAAATACATGTTATGTTACATGTTACATGTATGTTAATACATGTAGACTGATCTGACATTCAGAGTGCTTTGTGGTTTATTAAACTGATTTTATTTTCTTTGACCATAAGACACGGTGATTATTTAACCTTGTATAGTCGCAGCCTTGATGGCATTTGATTCAGACTTTACAACAAAGTGACTTTAGGACAAACGTGAGACCAACATGTAAAGCTGAAGACACATTAACATGATGAAGTGTGTCTCTAAAAAAGGTCTTTATACTTATTAAGACTCTATGACCAAAGTTCAGAATCCCAAGACAATGTCAGTGATAAAAAAACAACAGGAAGAATAAATCTGGGTGAACAAATCATAGTTAACAGAACAAAGCATCTCAGTTTGTGGTAAAAACATGTGAGACCTGCTTTAATGAACCCGTCTTACCTCGGCCAGCTGTAAAACTACAGTGTGATCCATGTTGAGCTCTGCTGGGACTGACTGGACCAGGTAAGAACCACCAACAGGAATCATCCCAAAGCCGCTACCCATCACCTTCAGTTTCTTTATGGCTCTCACCAAGTCGTCTCTGGGGAGCACATAATGACTTTAATAGACATACAACAAACACATGGGGCAATAGCAACTCTGATAATAATGTGCAGCTGTATAAATACAAAACAGAACATTTTACACAGAAATGACACATGAAATATTCAGTTAGTGACACTTACTGGCTCACATCCTGAGCGTACTTTCCTCTTCCCTTCAGTACTCTCTGATGGAGTTCATCCAGAGTAATGAGCCCTGAAAAACAAGACACATAAAATCCAGTAATCAGGGAATCTACGTTAATGATATGTTTACTGTGTTGACACGAATAATATCAGGGTCCAACACACTCATTATCACTTGGTTTTCAGTTTCCAGACAAGTTACAAACCTCCATTTCTGTGTTTCAGGGCCAGACACACTTCAATAATCTGTACACCGAGCTCATAATAGAAGTCACCAACGCCGAGCATCTCCGACCAAAAACCTTTCCCGGCTGTGGAAGGAAAAAAACGAAGAAAGAGAGGTTAAAATGTTGTTTTCTACTTTAAAAACATTTGATTTAAACACTTTTCTCCAGATTATATTCCAGAAAATGTTTCTCACAGGCAAGTGGGTCAACTCCGATGGTGGCACACATTTCCTGAAACTGAACCCTGAACTGTGAGCTCTTTCTGATCTCCTGTTTGTGTTTGCTGGCGAACTCCTCCAGGTTGGACTTGAAGGTCTCCAACTGCTTCGACATCTGGCAGGAAAAACAGAATCAGGAGAGTGAATGAGTTTAATCCACAGCGCAGAAGTTGTGTCTGCAACACTAAATAAATATATATATATATATTTATATTTGTAACTGGAAGTGAGGACTGTGTATAAAATGTTAAATTAGGATTAATGGTGTTTTGTTTTTATTCCAATATGAGCAGATTATTTACTTTACTAAAGCAACTAAAATGTGTGCTACTTTTATTACAATACAACCAGCTAATACATGAGTTAAATATTGATTTTATTACAGATTTACAAAAGTAGAATGAAGGGAAAAAACACATTTGCATTAACTTTATTGTCTCCTGGAGTATTTTATATCTAAAAACAACTCACTTGGACAATTTGATCCTCTGCAAGAACTGTTCCTCTTTCTTTATATTTTGCCTAAAAAGGAAGAAATAAAATCCCAGGTAAGACATGAAGGTGCTTTATAAACCTAAACGACTTTATATTAACTGTTCATTAACTGTATTTATTGTTGTTTTACCTCTGCTAGTTTCTTTTTAGCGATAGCTCCCGCACCAACACCTCTCCGGTGCATTTTGTCGACGTCTGGTCCAAAACTTTAAATAAAGAATATAAACAACGCGGCTGTTTATCGCAGATTAAAGTCAGGTTATGTGATTTTAAGGTTGTATTTGTGCGATATTTATGTATAAATGTATAAAGTAAAGCTACTAAGTGTTTCCAGTTTGACAGCAAGGAAGTAAATCCCTTCCTGGTGGCTGGCGTTAAGCTTTTATTTTAGGGCGCCACTTGGTGTCTCGGGGAATATTGCAGGGTAGTGATTTTTTATTTTTTGCACATTTTTTAC